AAAAAAAAAAAAAAAAAAAAAAACAAGAACCAAACTAAGCAACAAGCTATCCTATGCCAACTAAAATAATGATAGACATTTTGAGACAAAAGAAATAACTACAAAAGGAATAATAAAAATTCATATTTTTAAAATTATTTATTTTAATATATAGTTTTTATTATGTGTCGGTCGAACGAATAGGCATATTGGCAGTCTTGAGTGCATGAGCCATAGAGGAACTAAGTCAATTGAATGACATGAATAGGATACACCAATGGCAAGTCGACAAACTCGTTCACTGAAAATAATGGAACAAGTTCCTCAAAAATTCAAGCTACCGACGATGAAAGGCTATGATAGATCGAATGATCTTATCAAACACCTTTCTAATAAAGTTTTCTTAAATTGAGTTCTATGGAATCCAAGACACAACCAAGTTACTCGTGAAATTTCAAACATCAATATCTTCTTCTGAAATATAATTATACCAAATATATATTAAATATATTTTGGAGACAATAAGGCAAGACAATGTTGTCGTACACACGGCATTTTAATAAGCACCAACAAATAAATCTCAATTAATTTAATTTAACAAACGAAAGTTTTCATTTGTGTTCACTGAACCATTCGATGTTGTCTTGTCTTTTCATTAGGTTTTGAACCTATATTAAATAAATAAATACAATATTATTATTATTATTATTTTTTAAGAATTAAATTTGTCACGTACAAATATTATATTATTCTTAAAATTATAATAGCGAGTTGATTTGGAGCGCAATTAAGAATTTGATAGCTAATTGATATGATAAAAATTAACGAATTAAAATTAAAATTCGAGGGAAATTAAGCAAAAAAAAACTATTTTTAAAAAAATTAAAATTTAAATGTCAATGATTAGTCAAAAGAAATTGTGACAAATAAATTGACTGCTACTAAAACTTTTGAAAGTGTTTGATTTTATAATATATATTAATATTATTTTATCTATGTAATAAATCACTTTAATTTGATATGATATAATATTTATAGTTTAAATAATATAATTTTTAAATATATCTACTTGATCAAGATGAGACTCGGAATAGATAGGTATGTTCCATTCTTGTTGATGATAAATTTTAGTGGTGGATGAGAAAGCAGAGTAATTTTAATATATCTATGGATTCTCAAATCACTACCATTTTAACCGGTAGATTAGTCGATAGTGAGATCGCATATTGGTTCGAGAAGAAACGAAACATTCTTTATAATTGTATGAAAGTTTCTTCTTAGTAGACGCGTTTTAAGACCGTGAGGCTGACGGCAATACATAACGGGCTAAAGTGAACAATATGTGCTAACTGTAAATTTAGGTTGTTACATATGATCATATCAAAGCTAGATACCGAGCGGCATGCCAACAAGGACGCCGAACTCTGAAGAGGAGTGAATTACGAGATCTTACATCATTTTGAGAGGGAAACGAGTGTCAGCGAGGACACTAGACTTGAGATGGATTGTGAGATCACATATTGTTTGGAAAAAAAAAAGAGTTTTAATGGATAAAACTAATTAACTGTGTGATTGAGCATCTTCTCCGATCTAAAAAAAAATATTATAAAAAAGCATTAAATAATTAATTAATTTATAAATAATGAAACTTTAAATTAAAAAAGAAAAAAAAAAACAAACTTTTGTTGATGAAAAAGCCATACATTTATTCAACCACTCTTAAAATTAAGCACAAAAAACGTCCTTGTCACAGAATTTAAAAAAAGAAATATATATATATATATATATATATATAGATATAGATGTATATATATATAGATATAGATGTATATATATATTAAGAGGTGGAAGAAGGCTTCATCTCAGCTTTAATGGCGGCCACCAACTGATCATAAGCCTCAGCCCATGCCCCTCTCATCTCCACACTCCACATCTCTGGAATTCCTTCCTTTATTGTCTCCAAAAGTGCAAATCTGGTCACCTATAAACAAAAAAAAACGTTCATTATTAGGTCATAATTTGATCGAGACGAAGATAGAGTTCAAATTACAAGATTAAAATAGAACGTAGATACATCGAAATGTTCGTCGACGACACCATATTTGAAGTGACTAGCACCGAGCCTCTTGATAGTGGTTTCTCTAGCCGCTGCTATACCACCTTTTCGAAGCTGAACTGCTGACTCACAAGCCTACAAGATTCAAACCAAATTTATAATGTAAAAGACATTAAAAAAAAAAAACTGCCCCAAAAACATGCAATTGAAGCAAGTTCTTGCAAATGAGAAAATGGACGGTTTGAATATGGGGGCTGATCTTATTTTACCCAAAGGGTTTGAATTAGCCCCCGATCATATTTCTCCAGAGATTAAAGAAAAGATGGACAATCTGTCTTTTTAGAACTATCGTCCCACTACAAAAAATATTCTTGTGATAGGGTATGTTCCAGATTTACTTACCAAAGTAAAAACATTCAAAGCATGAGGTTTCAGCTTAGGGTTTTGTTCGAGGGGAACTTTAGCATCTCTCAGAAAAGGAAATATCTTTTGAGCGGACGGTGCGATTTCAAATATCCTAAGCACAATCCACCAAAACAAGAAAAGGGTTAGATTCAAATCAAGAATATAAACCTTTAAACTGACGACGATTGGGTCGGGAGTAGCTTACTTGAGGAAGAATTTGAGGGCCAATTCAGGAGCATTCTTTTTCATGACACTCCATGACTTGAGCACAAGAGCTTCTTGGTGTTCAGTGAAAACCTTGGATTCTCCGAAAGAGCCCATGATGATGCTTTTTTTTTTTTTTTTTTGGTTGGGGAATTCATATTGGAGGATCCTATTTATGCAGTGAACCAATAAAGTGTTCTGTTTTGTGGTCTTACCTCTTCACTGTCATGAAAAGCCATGGCAGCCTGCTTTTTGCTTCTTTGGGTAAAATACACAGCAAATCCACAAGGCAAGAACAGGACATGGAACAAAACAGGGGGCTGTCTTGAAAAACAACCAAATTTGCTGGTTTTTCATTGGTTTTTGGGATAACTTTTTCAACTTACAAATTCTTGTGGTAAAACTTAATTTCAATCACCTGGATTTTTGTTTTCTAGTAATTAAAAAATAGTTTTGGTCTTGAGTTGGGCAATTTTTTTTTTTTTTTTTTTTTTTGGATTGTGTTTAGTAATTCAGTTATTTTATTATCATAATTTGAAAACGTCCATGATTATTCAAATAATGGTTTCAATCCGACCACAGGATCGATCTAGGGTGGTTGTCGACGTACCAGCTAGAAAAGAAGTATGACAATATAAAAGTCAACTTTGTTTTAATTAGTGGTTTGAATGTATGATTAAATATAAATTTAATTTCTATAATCTACTAGTCTATAACTATCTTACACGATTTCCTTCTTAATCAATAGCAATTGTAGCTCTGTTATCATATTGTATTATTATACCGTTTTTTCGTTTGAGTTCTCTACGACTACATAGAATTATAGCTTTGATCACTGCAACGTTGTCCTTATGGGTCAGCTTAGAATCACAAGATTGACTCATAAGGGTCTGTCAAGGGTAGTAAGTTCAACCCCGCTTTGGTTGAGAAGGTAAGTCTCTGGGTTTGAAGGTGGACGATTATACCAAAGATGTTACTCCTTACTCCCAATGAGGCTAACTACATCATCCAAGAAATCTACAAGAGAGTATACGGTAACCATTCAAGAGACAAATCTCTCATAAACAAATTAACGAGACAAATTACTACTGATCAACCATGATCAATAACATGCAAAAGTTCACTAAGAGGTTACGAGATTGATGCCAACAATTTCGTAATAGCAAGGTAACCATTATAGCCTCCAACAGAAGTTGAGTCAAAGTTACGAGTCTTCTACCATTTGCATAATAGGAACAGATCTTATTCGACCTCTCCTCCAAGAATGAACTCATATTGAGGTACGGAGAAGAAAGTACGCGACTCATAATATGAAAACTATCGTTCAAATTAGTTCAAATTAGACCGACAAAATCGTGTATTTTAAGATGGGATGCATTAAACTAAAAAAAATTAAAAACTAATATATACTTATATATTTTTGTGTTAAACTTTACATATTGAAGATGGAATAAAGTGTTACCTTTTGATGTGGAAGAAAGAAGCATTGGCAAGTGATCCATTAACCACATCCATAGTTCACATCTGGTTTGGCCACGGCCGAGGAAAATGGAACTTCGACTCTCTCTTTCACCAGACACCGCGCCTCCCCGTCTTCCACCGTGAGAATTTTCCCGGGCGGGCATCGAATTATCGGTCTCTCTTCCTCGGTCAATGGATGTTCAACAAACCCATTGGATATCTTCGGACGACTAACACTCTTCGCTGCGATTCGTTGTCCAAAGCCAGACATGCTCAATATTGACACAACACCAACAATGGTAAACACTGCCTTGGCTGCAGCAGCTAGGAGTGAACCTAATCCGTTCGTCGAGCTTCTCGTGCTCACTTGTTTGCTGGTAGTCAACGACTCGCTTGACTCCCTTTTAGCATCGTTCGTCGTGTAGTTCAAGGTTACCCCATTGCGAGCAGATTTGCGAGTGGACAAGGATGGTGGTAATTGGCCATTGTTTAGGTGAAGCGCGTAGGGCGGACGGGTTGGATATGGAGGAAGCATGAGATCATGGTTGTGCTCTACTGCCTCGCCAGCAAAGGCGGATGCTTCGTTTATCACCTCCAAATGCTCGCCTTTGTAGTCCTTGAGCTTGTCGAGTAGTATCGTGCGGCTGTGTTCGATCTCACTCAGAGCAGCTTCCCGTTCGTATCGTTGTTGTTGTTGCAATTCCTTGATGTGACAAGAGTAGCAATATCAATTAGCACGGGACGAATTGTCTAGATCATATAGTTAAATAACAGGAAATGCAAATATATTCAACAAAGACTACGTTATTCCAGAGTTTAATTAACGTTCTAGTAATGAAACAGAACAAAAATCTATGGATTATTCTAATATAACTCAAATTTAAAACTGAGATATCTGCGCGGGTTACCCACACATCTGTGAGATCAAGAAAGCAAGAATAGATTGGTGCTATGATTATGGACTATTTCAAAGCAGTCCATAGTCTGTAACGGCCCAAACCCACCGCTAGTAGATATTGTCCTTTTGGGTTTTCCCTTTAGGGCTTCCCCACAAGGTTTTTAAAACATGTCTGCTAGGGAGAGGTTTCCACACCCTTATAAAGAATGTTTCCTTCTCCTCCCCAAACCGACATGGAATCTCATAATCCACCCCACCTTAGGGTCCAGCGTCCTCGTTAGCACTCGTTCCTTTCTCCAATCGATGTGGGACCCCTCAATCCACCACCCCCGCGAGGCCCAGCGTCCTTGCTTGCACACCACCTCATGTTTTCCCCTTGCAAGGCTCAATCTCCTCACTGGTACATCGCTCGGTGTCTAGCTCTATTTATAACAGCCCAAGCCCTCCGCTAGCAAATATAGTCCTTTTTGGGCTTCCCTTTCAGGATTCCCCTCAAGGTTTTTAAAATAAGGGAGAGGTTTCCACACCCTTATAAACAATGTTTCGTTCTCCTCTTCAACCGATGTGAAATCTTACAATCCACCCTCCTTCAAGATGCAGTATCCTCGCTGGCACTCGTTCCTTTCTCCAATCAATGTAATACCATTTATAACAGCCCAAGCCCACTACAAGCAAATATTGTTCTCTTTGGATTTTCCCTTTCAGGCCTCCTCTCAAGGTTTTTAAAACGCATCTGCTAGGAAAAGTTTCCACACCCTTATAAACAATATTTCATTCTCCTCCCCTACCGACATGGGATCTCACATAGTCCCATTGAATTTGACCAGAGTGACCAGAGGGACAAGACAGACAAAGCGAGGGATACATAGAGCGAGAATATGCTATAGCATTGCAATCCCAAAGGCCAAACTTGTTTGCTAGAAGAGGAAATCCTTTTAGAAAAAGCAAGAAAGCACGTTTGAAAACATAGCATTTCTTACAATATCAGTTTCTGCATTCACAAACAATATACCAAAGCTAAGGAACAAGGTCTGATTTGACAGAACACAAACAACAAAGAAATTCAATAAGTAGTTTCAGAGTTTCAATTCACTTTCTTTCTACCACAAGAACAACGAAGATCATTCAAGAACTTCTTACCTCCACAATATGGGGAAATGAACAAAAGAAAAATGAAACCCAGATCAGAACAATTGCCATATGATACAATCAAATCAATTCAAAATCAAAAGCAGAACAGAGTCACAGACCATCAAATCAAGAAATGTGAGAAAAAAAAGAGCGAACGCGGGAAAACCTGCAAAGAAGAGAGCTGGGTCTCCAAGGACTCAAGGGCATCGCAGATATTCAAAAGCCGTTCCACCTCATCGTCGTCCTCCGTGACGCCGGCAGGACATTCGTAGGTGGAACCACCGTCATTGGCAGCCTCATTTCCCCCTCCGGAAGATGGGTCTTGCAGGAGAGAGGCGGTGGTTGTAGCCTTGTGAATGCAGTTGCTGATCTTCAACCGGAGCTCTGTGGCTCTGCCAAGAACCATGTCTATGCCGTCTTCTTCCATGGGCGCTGGTTGGTGGCTCCGGCTAGGGTTTTTGAGGGAAATTAGGGGAAATGGGAAGTGGGGTTTTGAAAAGAACAAGACTTTGAATCAGAAGGCGCCAATAGAAGTAGTTTATGGTGGAAAAATGGGAAGATTATAAGTGATTCTGGTGCTCTCTCTGTAGATATACTGATTGGCTCAGAAGACCCACCTTTCTTCCTGAAACTGAAATTTCAAACAATACAAACTTTGTTTCTACCCAAAATAAAATGGAATCTAAGCAATTACATTAACAAGTATTCATCCATTTTAAAAATTTATAACTAGTAAACAAGTATGAACGGTCAACTTGAACATGGTTCAACGAGCTACGGTGTTATATTCATGTTCTAAAATTCAGATGTTCAAATTTACAAGTCGGTACATTCTTAAACTAAAAAAACTAGCTATGAACACTCTACCGTGCTATTTTTTAAGACACTAACTACTGATTCCGAGAATGAATTTGAGTATTTTGGAGTGAAGGGTTTGTACATTATGCTCTTACTAATGAAATTGTGTAATTTGTTACTTGATTTGTGAAAAAAAATATATATAGTTTTGAAGTTATATTAATTTCAAATTTAATTTGATAAAATAAACCAATAAGATTAAAATGGACTCAAATAGAACAGTTGAATGGATTGGAAAAGAGCCCATGAAAATGGATTGTTTGCACCGAACAAGCGCTTCGGGAGTGAGCACATGTGTAATTTTTAGCATCTTCCCATGTTTTCTCATGCCAAAAGGGTGGCTCTAACAGGCTACTAAACTCACCGCTAGCCAATATTGTCCGGTTTAGCCCATTGTGCATTTCCATCAGCCTCACGATTTTGAAACACGTCTAACGAGAGGTTTCCACACCCTTAAGAAATGTTTCGTTCCCCTTTCCAACTAATGTGAGATCTCACAATCCACATCCTTAAGGGCCAGTGTCCTCATTGGCACAACGCTTGGTGTCTGGCTCTGATATTATTTGAAACAACCAAAATCCACCGCTAACAAATATTGTCTGTTTTGACCCATTATGTATCGTCATTAATCTCATGATTTTAAAACGCATTTGTTAGGGAGAGGTTTCTACACTCTAATAAGAAATGTTTCGTTCCCCTCCCTAACCAACGTGGACCTCGAAGGAGTATCGAGCTAGATGTAAAGACAAGGAAGCATATAGGACCAGAGAGAAGCGCAAGAAATGTCTAGACCAACATATTCTCAAAAACCAAGCTGGATGTAAAGATATAGAAGAATTAAGGACTATAGAGAAGCATCAATGCAGCGTTTGTGTCGTCTCTCAATGATTAGTTGAATTAATGGACAAATGATGTAACACCAATAACGAGGTTATACAATATTCCATTTGTTCACAAACAATTCTTTAATGTTGATGAACCACACATTATCTGTAAATAATGCTAATCTAATTCATAATGAAAGTGGAGTTGGCCTAAAGCAACATCAAATATCAGACTACCTAGGAATTAACAATCAAATCAGTTCATGGCAGACAGGAGGAACAGCTTTAGAAACATCAAAATAAACACAGCCAGAGAGAAATATCAGACTACCTCAAAATGCATATAATAAATACCCTCTGTCTAACTCAGGCTGAGAGTTCAGCTAGCTAGCATTTACATTCCAAATACCATCAAACCTCGATATCACAGCTATGTACAATTTGCGGATTCTTCTAAAGCAAAATGGAAATAAGGAACGTGAGTGAAGTGAAGAACATCACAGATTCTCTTTCAAACTATAGCTCAGCCGAAGATAAGATAATAAAAGATGGTGAACAACGAGTGAAGAATTGAAAGAACACCTAAGATTACCTGGTCCCATGCTAACGAAGCTATTGTTTTATGTCAGATCTGTACAACTGTACTTTATAACCACGCAACTTCCAGATATTAGTTTAGTTTCTGTCAACCACCTCAGCAGGCAAGTTTAGATCAAAAAAGTTGCCAGTAACAACGTCTGCTCTGGCACGCTTCCTAGAAGAGCATCCATTCTCTTCGGAGTTCAAACCAGACAGACGATCCCGTTCCGACAATCCTCCTGCATTTGTACCATCAGTAAAAACTATAAAGAAAATACATCAAGCAATGTTCAACGATCTTGATTTAGAGTTGCAGGGAATGAATTCAGATTTACAATAAGGGTCACAGTTAAGAGATCAATAAGTGTAGAAAAGTACTCTCTACATTACCACTTGTACTACAATCTGATGGAAGATATTTATCAATAGTAGTATTCGTTTTGCTGTTCCAACAAGCTGAAAGTTCCAGAGCTTTCTCGATTCCTTTCGACTTGTACGGAGCGATATTGTGTATACCCAGTTCAAGAGAACCCAGAAGATCATTTTCAATACAGTCATACCTGCATGAGAATAGTACATGAGTTCCAAGAGCTTAACACACGTTTAGAAGAACAGAATTAACAGATTGTTCGAGTATGCTTACATCTTCTTGCAAAGGGTATCGGTGATAACGGACAGATTGATGACTTGCATCCTTATCTCCATTACCTTATCTTTGGCGTATTGATCAAACGGTTCCTCTAAGAACTTGGAGAGCTTCTCAACATTTGCCTCAAGTTGTTGCTGTTGGTCCTCAAAAAGATGTTGCTTTATTTCCCTTTCCTCCTCGGTCATCTCGTCTTTGAATAGCTCGTCCCCGAACATATAGAATGCAAATGGGTAAGAATATGATAAAACCCGCCTTGATCTGAAAAGCCTATGAAGTCCATTGTTTACCCAACTAAAATCTCTCAGCATGGATTCCCTCTCTTCAGATATCGAAATCTTCTCTTGTATGGATTCCTTCAATTTGCTTTCCAGCTTACAAGAATCTGTATGAGCTTTGTATCGATTATGATAGTGCATATAGCGATACAAATCCCGTTTTGCTCTTTCAGCTTTTTGTGCTGATTCTTCTTTGTAACGCCCACAACTGTGACCAGAAATACTCGACCAAGTGTGTTCTCGACCGGTAGCTCCACCACACAGCCAACTGTACCAGAAGGATGGGAAGTAGAAACTTAGACACACTTGATAAAATGAAAAACATGGCCAGAAGAACAAATAGCTAGAACAAAAACAAACAGTTTAAACAAAATTTATTGTAAAGAATCACAATTAGAAAAAGAAACAGAGTTCTACTATCAGAAACTTAAGTACTAAGCACTAAATGCTTGATTTTTATGAACTTATTTCAAATTAGAAAGAGTTTAAGTTAGTATTTGGTACGTTAAAGGAAACAATACCCAGCTTTCACACTTCACACCTCACTACCTTTATTTCCTTAGAACAGATTATGGAGATACGTATTTTTACAGATCTATAACTAACATAAGCTTAAAATGATTAAGCACAATGTATTGAACTTGTTCAGTTGAATGTCAACAAAAGATTAAGTGAAGTTTTAAGTATAAGAGATGGATTAGAGATTACTAACTGATTAACTAACAACATTCCTCCTTAGATTTCATTCCAAATGACTCCGATGTATGTCGAAACCAGACAATATACGTATACAAGAAAAGACAATTTTTCTTGATAATAAATTAGCAAAAGCCAACAAAATCAAAAAGAAAAAATAATAAAAAGAAATGTTGTTCTTTTTTCCAGACAAGGATTATCGAGCATACTAAGTATTTTGAGACCCCCCAAAAGTGGTGAATTATTACGAGTGTCAATGACTCGTAATTCAAAGAAAATAACGAAGAAGAAAACTGTTCTTAGAAAGAGACAGAAAGAGCATCAAATGGCTAGATTTATCAGAACATTTTCACACCAAATGAAATGCAGAAAACCATTTATTCAAGACAGCTAAAACCCCGTATGCTTTCAAGAGAAGAATTTAGCCTCAGTTTCAACAATATATGACAGTGAGCTATCTGCCTCGAAGTCTGGCTATATACGAAAGAGATATCGCTATCAGAAAGTTCGATTTCAGGTCTTGTATTTAAGTAATTTTGAACAGAACGCTTCCATCCAGGCTAATAAATTTATCGAAAAAAAACCATAACAAAGAAAATGATAACAAAAATAGTAAAAACATACCAAAATGCTTGTCCACAGATGCAACTGACAAGGTTACAGCCACCATTCTTCTCGACGGGTTTGTGGCACTTTGGACAGGGTTTTGTATGTACTGTCATCCAGTTAACTGTTTCGGATTCATCTCGACACTTCTTAATCCAAAGTTCCCACATCAAACATGAACATGGTGAGTGAGCCTCTGATAAGCAACTGAAACAAAATTGAAGACCGCACGAACATTCTACTTCACAAAACTCATCATCCTCCACGCGTATAGCGTTACCACAGTGAGGAGTACTCGGACACCATTTGACTCTCTTGTTATCCTCAATGTACGATTCAAGAAGAAAACGATCAAATTTATTGGCAAGATCCGGATGCCTTTTACTAACTAGATTCCTAACAACAGCTTCATCGCAAATAGCATTACATTTATGAGCCATGCATCTAATTCTCCGACTTTGACCCTCGTTTATTTTCACAATGAAATGTTCAGTCCAACCTGAAACGCAAAAGTGTAGTAAATTTGATCTCAGAACAAATGTTTCAAGTTTTCAACGACATAACGAACAATAAAGCTCCGCCCATTATTAGTAAATTATACGAACTTCGCACAATTTAATTCTGCTCACAACCAACAACATCACAGCCAATCTTTACAATATCAGTTCACAAGGCCATTGAAAAATATTTGTCTAAGTTTAAAGGGAAAAAAATGCTTACAGTTATTACAAAAGCAATGGCCACAGTCAACTCTAGTTGCATCATTGCCATGAACTTCCTCCATGCAGATATCACACATCACCATGGAAGAAGGCTCAGAGGAGCTAATACTTTGATTCCCAATCATAGTAACACCAGATGTAGCAAACAAATGATGTCTCCCTTTCTCCACAAGTACTGCAAACAATTTCTCCACATCCCATCGGTAATGAATGAGTAAGGTCCGAGCATGGTATTCCCTCAATGATAACATATCCATTACTCTACGCATATCCTCCTTCTACATGAAAACAAAACAATTCTAAAAGCAAATTCAAACAACAAAAAAGAACCCAGCTAAACAATCAAACAATAAAACGAGATAAATGGTTCTAAACCTGTGCCGCAAGGAGACATTCCTTCGTAATAACCTGAAAACAGAAAACATGTTCTTCATAAGTAAGGCCGATTAGAAAATCCATAAAATTCCGCCGCCCCATCATCACAAACTCAGAGAAAATCATAGAATGCTACGTTATGATTCAACAAAAATCAATCGAGAAAAAACCTCTCCAAATTGAATCGAGAAAAGAGGAATTTCAAATTTCAATCCACAAAGAAAAGTAATCAAATCCAATTACAATCCACCTCCCAACCCGAACGCGTCGCGAGAAATAGAATACCTTAGTCGCAGAACTTTTAGGAATCCACTGAATTTCAGAGTCCTCGTTCTCGAGGCCGTGGAGAGATTCTCGATCGGAGTCATAGTAGTCTTCATCGCTGCTGATGCAGTCCTCCATTGAGAAATTGAAGAAAAGAAATTACAAACTGAAGTCAGATGGAAAAGGAAAGGGAAAGCTCAGTGGTTAATACAGGTAAGATCAAAAAGGAAAGGGGAAAAAAAACAGAACAAAACAATTGCTGACGAGATTCGATGAATAAATCGGATCCGGAGAATCGGGAAACGCCGGAGAACGTTTCCCTCCAGCGAGATCGTTGGAAAATCCGGCCAAGAGACTGAAAGGACAACGACTAATAGGAGTTGTTCCGATGAAATTAAAAATTTTAAAATATATATCATATATATATATTATAATATTTTGCTTTTTATCTGACCGAATTTTGAATGCTTTAAATTATTCACAATATTATATTATTGTGGATATATATATATATATATATACTTTTAAATTTAATTAAAAGAAATAAAACAAAATATCCATGAACAAACAAAATAAAAAAACAAATGAAAGAATGTAATTAATTACATAGTACTAATCGAAATTAAGATGTTAATTAGGATGTTTTATAATCCTCTGCAAAACCACTGTCCTTGCTCTTGTAATGTCTTTGCTACACAAATCAGCTTGAACTCCCAAATCTTCAACGCTCTTCATGAACACATCTAGTTTCTTCTTCATCTCCTCCACTCCAACCTTCACAGCTTCCTCTTCGATGGCGAACTCCGCCTTCTCCAACATTCCCTCCATCTCCGTCTCGAGCTTCCCGACCAGAACCCGAATGTTGTCCATGTCTTTGATCGCAATATACGTCCCGACCTGCATTGAGCTTATCACTTCCTTTTGCCCTTTCAATGCATTCTCATAGCTCCTCCATAAGGAATCAATCCACTTTCCCATGGAGCCTAGAGGAATGGAGGAAGCTGCTGATAGCGCTGCCGTGACTGGCGGTGCTGCGATTACCGTCGCTACTACCGAACAAATTAACACCGCGGCGAATGTGGCTGCGAATATCATGCTCGAGAGCTTCCTCCATGTGTTGATGGACTTCAGCTTCTTGTCGAGCTTGTTCTTCTTCTGTTGTAGCTTCTCCAGCATTACCTGCACGAAAATCATCCGTTTATAGGTAAGGAAAACTATCTTCATTGGTACGAGGTCTTTTGGAAAAACTATGAGCAAAGCCATGTGAGCTTATATTCAAAGTGAACAATATCATACTACTGTGGAGGGTCCTGGTTTCTAACATGGTATCAGAGTTATGCCCTTAACTTAATTATGTCAATAGAATATTCAAATGCCGAACAAAAAAGTTGTGAGTCTCAAAGGTGTAGTCAAAAGTGACTCAAGTGTCGAACAAATTGTTTACTTTGTTCTAGGGCTCCAGAGAAAATAGTCGAGCCTCAATTAAGGAGATGGTGTACAACGGCTCCATAGGCTTCAAGGGAAATTCTATGGGGTAACATTTGTGGAGGGTCGTGGTTCCTAATAGAATATCAGAGTCATGCTCTTAACTTAGCCATGTCAATACAATACTCAAGTGTCGAACAAATTGTCTATTTTGTTCGATAGCTCCAGAGAAACAAGTCGAGCCTCGATTAAGGAAAGGCTATTCAAGGGGTCCATATGTATCAACGGAAGCTCTATGGTACACCATTGTGGAGGGTCATGGTTCTTTAACATGATATTAGAGTCATACCCTTAACTTAGTCATGTCAATAAAATTCTCAAGTGTCGAACAAATGGTGTACTTTGTTCGAGAGCTCCAGAAAAAGAAGTGGAGCCTCGATTACTAAGGAGAGGGTGTTCAAGGGCTCCATAGGCCTCAAGAGAAGCTCTATGATGTACCATTTGTGGAGGGTCGTAGTTTCTAACGTGATATCAGAGTCGTGCCCTTAACTTAGACATATCAATAAAATGCTCTAACAAATAGGGTAATTTGTTCAAGGGCTCCAGAAAAAGGAGTCGAGTTTCGACTAAGGAGAAACTATTCAAGGACCTATAGGCTTTAGGGGAAGCTCTATAGTGTAAGTTGTTCGAGAGGAAGATAATTGAACATTATTGAAAGGAGTTGTCCCAGGTTGACGTCGTCGTGGTTCCTAACCGAAACAATCTTTAAAGCGGAAATTGAGAGATTACCGTTTGCTGTTTATAAACAGAGTGAAAGATGTTGAAGAACTCGTGAGTGAAGGGATCAGCAGAGGCCTTAAAATTCCTCAATTCCTGCAAAGTTTTCACAAAACGATTCCGACCCACATGAGTTTCCTCCTCCTCGAACTGCCGCAGCGCCATTAAGATCAGCAGCTGGCTGTCCCGAGCTCGTTTCAGGCAATTTTCCAGAGCAGTACAGAAATCAAGCGTTTGGAGGCTATTTTCAAAGTAATCTTCAACCAGCTCGAACACCTCCTGGTTCTTCCAAATATCCTTTTTGCATTGCAGGATGACTCGAACCACCTCCTGGTTCATTTCGAGTAGGCATTCCGTGACTTGTTTGAGGGAATCGAAGGACAGGGCTCGGACTTGGACGCCGCCGTCGTCGGCTAATGTAGTCAGGACTTGGTTGGCTCGGGCTTGGAGGGCTTTGTCGAAGGATCGGACATCGGCGTCGGCCACACAGGCGGCTTCGTAGGTGGTGAGGTCCTTGGCGGCGAGATTGATGGCGACAGGTTGTTCGGCGGCGGTGCTCCGTTTGGTGGCGTGGCTGTTTCCCATTGGAGGAGGATTGGGAAGAAAATAGGAGAATTGAGAAGCAATGAATTCAGAGAGGATTTATAAACCGTTAAAGAAGCGAAGAAGAAGAAGAAGAAGAAGGAATGGCTTGCACGCATCATGAAAATGGAACAGAATGCTACGGCTGCGAACTGGGAGGGGGAAGCAATCTCTCTCCTCTTCTCTCTCTTACGTCATAATAACTAACCATTTTAGGGGATAAAATAAATTACTCAAAAATTAGTTGATATATGTGTTAGTCGAACACGGACTCTGACAATGGTATGATATTGTGAACTTTGGGCTTCCCCATTGGTATGATGAGAGTATTCTTTGTCTATAAAATCATGATCATTCACTAAATTAGTCGACGTGAGACTTTCATCATCCAGCTCATGAACCCTCTAAGCTGTTATCCAAAGTTATTTTGTAATCTCGTCTTTTAAATAGAGTAGAGATAATTTCTCATTCGTGTAAGTTTTTATGTTCGTTTCTTATCTGGCTCGGTTAACATCAGCCATTGTCATAATTTAGGTCGTATATTATGGAAATGTATAACAAGTGATATTAGGACGTTAAGTTTTATTAAAAATTGATTTGTTAGACAGTTTGTTCGTGGAGAACTCTTGGATATGGTAACTGTGAGACACAGCGTACTATTTTTGAATCCCGTGCTAGTTTTATTATGGTAAGCTAAAAGGGAGACGATCCTGATCCAAATGGAATTGCTACGGTATCAACATCTTGGTCATAAAAAGAAATGTAAAACATCTCACTATCATAATAATTTAATTATTAAAATTATTTATTCACATATATCTCAATAACAATAAACAAAAGCTGGAATAGCTCAGTTGGTTAGAGCGTGTGGCTGTTAACCACAAGGTCGGAGGTTCAAGCCCTCCTTCTAGCGTTTTTTTTTTTCCTTTTTTATTGTTTTTTCCTTATTACGCCTGAAAAATATTTGAAATTATTCTTTTTATAATTTATAATAATTAATAAAAATGGGATGAAGTTTATGGGTATTTATGAAAGGGAAAAGCTACAAAATTAATAATTGGAAAAATGGTATGAAATTCGTGAATTGAACATATTTTTCATGTTATTTATTAATCATTGATTGCTTAAAATAATTTGAAAAAAAAAATTAATTAGGTAATTGAGAAAATTATTGAGTGAGAAACTCCAATACACTTTATAAAGAAGAATCTGCAAGTCATATAAATTTAGAGATATTAAATAATAATAATAATAATAATAATAATAATAAATAATCAAGGCATGTAAATTTTGATATAATTTAATAATTATCTTGAAAATGACATAAATATTTGAAAAAAAATTCTAAAACCTTTATCACATGCTTATGAAAAAAAACTGAATATTATTATTTCTGCCGTATTATATGAAAATGCAATATATAATGTAAGGATTGTATAATAATTTTTAAAGGAACCAATAATGCAATATATAATTTTTTGAAACGACCTGGCGTGATGATGGTCTTCCAGTTAAACAAGCAATAAAAATAAAAATAAAAGACGAATCTAACGTGTATGTTTAAAAAAATTGATCGTTTTTTTTTCCTCTCTCGCTTAAACAACTTGATGTATTTTAAATAATTCATTTTCTTATAGGAAACCGACCGTCTAATAGATTGAAATTTTCTTTTCTTAAACAAAATGATGTGATGATGATGTTTTAATTAAGCAACAGTAATTATTTAATGAGATTATAACTTGTATCTTTCAAATAACTTATCGTTTCTTACTTCGTTGTGTTTAAAAGACGTGATGAGATGACGGTACTCTAATCAAACAAGCAGCAACAAATAAGTGAACCATCCCTCCGTCATTTTAAAATTAATTTATGTTTCAAAAAATAAATGGATAAAAATAATAATTTTATTTAAAAAAAATTGTAAGAATTGATGTGAGTAATATTGTTAGGGTGGACATAATATAAACATAATTAATTGATAAAGAAATATCAGACTGTTAAGACAAGAAAGAGAGGTGGACACGTGGCAATAAAATAGTGGTGGGAAATAATGATTAGGAAAAGTTTGGCCATAAATGATTCCCCAAATTGGCAACAAAGATGATTCTTGTAAGTTGCTTTCTTTCTATTGCTTACGTCACTCAAAGTTTTCTTTTTATTTATTTATTTATTTATTTCTCCCCCATAGAATTAACTTATTGAATTATATATATATATTTTTTTTATAAACAATTCCAAAATCTAAAATGTTTTAATCAAATAATTATAATAAGCAATATAAATATATATGTATTTTAAATTAAATATATAGTAAAATATATTCTATAATTGTATAACATTTTCAAGTATTTAAAAAAGCATACAAATAATTAGATACACGTTATATATCAATAATATAAATTTGTGTTTTAAACAAAGTTTAGAAAAAAAAAATAAAAATTAAAAATAGAATAAACTAATAAGACAAATGTTTTTATTAAATTTTTCAAAAAGTCAATAATGTTAGAAAAGCGGGACTTAAAAGAAAAGCAAGAGGATGTGGAAGTGAGGATTTGCGGGGCGGGCCGCCGCGTGCCCCGACACACCCGACTTTTCCCAGCCCGATATGTCA